GCGCGCGTGTGTGTGTGTGTGTGTGTGTGTGTGTGTGTGTGTGTGTGTGTGTGTGTGTGTGTGTGTGTGTGTGTGTGTGTGTGCGCGCGCGCGTGCGTGCATGCGTGTGTGTGTGTGCGTGCGCGTTGCGTGCATGCGTTGTGGATCGGCAGGCTGGCAGGCAGCAGCAGCAGGCGCTGATATGCGTGCCCCTCTGCTTTCCAGCCTTGTGACACTCTCGCCGACGTGGCACAGTGAGCACGAGTATAGCCCGTTTGGGGGGGGGGCAAAACGGAAGGGGGGTGTTTGTGGTGGGCAGGCACGAGCTTTGGCCCAGCTTTTGTATTGAGGAGTCCCTTCAGACTGTAATTCTCTGCGCCTGCATGCAACCTCGCTGGCCCCGTGTTTGTTGAGATGCCGCCATGGCACAGGCCTCACAACTGTCATGTGTCTCGGTACACACGAGGTTGACCAAGTGCCTGTGTGAATCCGAGTGGTGAAACTGTAACAAAATTGCGCGCCTGAATTGATTCGAGCAAACCTTCAAAAATAACGCGGGGAGGGCAAGGTATTGATTCGAATCAGGAGTGCACGCAAGGGGGGCTGCAAGGTTGTACGGTATCAGGAACGGGACCGCTTGGCACACGGATCCTGAAAGTCACCCCCGCCGTTGCTATCGGCGAGCTCGTAGCTCAGATGGGCCCGGGGATGCCCGCGGCGCCAGGCCATGGAGCTGGACAAAACGGCTGCTGCCATTGGCCCCCAGCACTTGTGCTCGAAAGGCGAGCGTGTATGGGCCATGCACACGCCCGGGAAGCCTCCCCGGAACCAGGGCAGCTCGCAACTAGGGCCGGACAGCATTCTCAGCGCCTGCCCGCGTCGCGCGTGGGCCCGCCGAGGGCCCGCACCGCGGCGGTGCCAAGGGGCGGCGCGAACCAGGTGCGCCACCCTGCAGGTGCGCCGCACATTGCTGCTTGTTGCGCCCCACGGCAGTCCCCGCCTGCTCGCAGGGTTCAGGAAGCAGGGCATTTGCAAGGCGTGAGGTGCGTGCAGCTTGTGGGGCCGTCTTGTTCGCCAGCGCAACCCATTTTTGGGGGGCAGCCGGGAGGTGACCGGTTGCGCCGCCGCCCACGTTGGCTGTCGCCGGCAGCCGCAGTCCCCTCATTCCTGCACAGCCCCCTTGTGCAACACCTGCCCTGCACAGCTGCAAGCCTGCTGCGTCTCTTGTGCCGCGCACCCCTCGTGCATTTCTAGCTGGCGACCAAGTGGGCGTCGACGGCTCCCGCAGGATGCGTTGTGTTGGGGACCTGCCTCTTGTGTTTCGAGCCAGCCACTCGCTGCATTGTTGAGCACTGCACACCTGCCTGCTGTGTGTGACGCACACTTATCCTCTGCGTTGCTTCACACTTGATCCACTGCAAAAAGCAGATTGATAGCAAGGATTGTGCCTGATGTCACATGAACTACTGTTGCGGGTCAAAGCAGCCGCCAACCCTACGACAACAAGAAACCCTGCGTGAACATACTTATTCAAACATCGGAAAGAAACCTCCGCGATCGATGGCATCAAGTGCACACTGACACACATACAAGGTGCTCCTCGAGCGTTGAACATTCGCGGCCAAAGTGCTAACGGGCCAGCTGGTTCAAGAGCCGCCAGCAGCGCCCGTGGTGGTGCCGAACCGAGGCATTGGCCTGCCAAAGCCAAGGCCGAGGCCAAAAAGCACGGCAGGCGGCCCCACTGCTTCAGCTCTGCAGAGAGGGTGCCCAGCCACGCGCCAAGGCCGTGCATCGCTGCGAATCGCGCCCACTGGCGGCCTCGATGGCCACAGGCCGCACCTGGGCGCGAAAATCGGCTGGTGCTCAAACGATTGACTGTTCCAGCACCACGTTTGACCCCTGGAAACGAGACCCCTCCACAGTGCAAACGACGCGCAGCTGGATGCCTCGGCCCGCAGACGCGTGCGGACGCTCCCAGCCTGACCCTGCAGCCGCCGCTGCCCTGCAGCAGCCGCCCCAGCAGGCGCCGCCGCAACCCGACGGCCGCCCAGCAGCAGCGCGCGGTCCCTCTACAGCCCTGCGACCGCCGCGGCGGGCAGCTCCGGCGCGACCTGCAGCACGACCTTGCCGCTGCTGGCGCCGGACTGCAGCCGGTCTACCGCAGCCGCGGCGGACTCGACGCCGACGAAGCGCTGGGTGTCGATGGCGGCGCGCAGGCGGCCCTGGGCAACGAGCTCGCACAGCGCTGTGAGGTGGGGGCTGCACAGGGGAGAGGGGGGGGGGCGAGAAGCAATGGGGTTGGGTGGGGCCGGATACGGATGAGGAGTACGGGACAGAGAGGGGGCCTGTGCAGGTGAGAAGAGGGAAAAGGAATGCAGAGCCACTGGGGGTATGTAAGGACGATGACGGGCTGGGGATATGGCACAGAGAGGGGTCCTCTGCACAGGGAGACGTCGACTGGTGTGACTGGGAAGCGAGCTATTTTTCAGGACCTGACACTTAAGGTAGCCAAAGCTTTCAGTGGTGCTAACGGAGGTGCAAACAGTGGGGTGGAGATCAGGCGCAGGCGCGGTGCTGACTCAGCCGCGGCTGGCGCGCATTCTACCCCAGGCTGATAATGGGCGATGCGAGGGAGGTGGCGGTCCCGATGACATCGCACACGTGGCTGATGACATCACCCTATGTGAAGTACTAGTCATGGCCGCCGCTCACCCCCAGAGCGGTGCGTACTTCAGTAGGAAGAATCCGGCCACGCTGGCGCTTTTCCAGAGCAGCCTGGGCGGTGGAAGGTGGGGGGGCACGGCGTGTGAGGGTTCGTCCAAGGCGGGGGGAGGGGGGGCAGTGCTGAACAGAAGGGTAGTTGTGAGGGTCTAGCTGGGGCCACTGGCTTGAGCCGCTGCCCTTCAAACCCGAGCGCTTGCAACAAAGAGCCGCAGCCGGGCATCCTTCGGCCAGTTTACCCACCTTGAAGCTCGCCCGTTGCTCATTTTGCCCCCCCCTGAGACCAAGCACATCTGGCATCTGATTTGGCATCGAGCCAGCCATGCATGGCTCAAGCTGTGGCGCTTTTCCCCGCTCAGTCCCAGAATAAAACTCACTTTTCTGCAAGCCCCTCATGCGCGCTGCGCTGCCAGCCGGACGAGTAAGCCGACATCATCCCTATGACTACCAGGGTGCCGCGGTCGGCGAGGGCGTCGACACACAGGTCAAACATCTGTCGGATGAGGCATGGGTGGGCCGCATGCGGGGGGAGGCGGGGTGTGCTCGGGGTCAGCAGGGGGCGAAGCAAACGACACATTGTGGGAGGAGAAGGGCATCGCTTGAAACGATTGCACTTGGCGGGCTGGCTGTGTCGCGAGAGCCGGGTCTCACGGTCACCAGCACTTGTATCGCCTTGCAACACAATTATTGAATGTCGTGCAGGAACATGACCAGTCGCTGCCGTCGTCCCCACCTCGCCGCCGACCGACTCGTAGATCACGTCGATGCCCCCCGGGTACTCTGCCTTGAGCACGCCCTTCACATCCTCAGACCTAGGTTAGAGGTACGAGGTTGAGGAACGGGTGGTTTGCAGGTTGCTTGAATGGGAGATCACGGCGTGAGTGTGCAGGCTGGGGATGCAGGGAGCAACAGGAGAATTTGGAGGAACGGCGCCGAGACAGGCCAGCACGATCCTGAAGAGCACCAGCGGCAAATTGCGAAAAATCACAGCCTGCCCCATGGGTGCAAGAAATGAGGACAGGCCACGAGCACTGGAAGCTTCAAAACAGAACCCCAGATCACACCCAGATCGCAGACCTGTAGTTGATCACGCGATCCACCCCCAGCTGCCGCAGCAGCGCCGCCTTGTCGTCGCCGCCGCACGTCGCCACCACCCTGCAGCCCGCCAGCTTCGCGAGCTGCACCGCAAACTGCCCGGTGCCGCCGGCGGCCGCCGTGACAAGCACCGTCTTCGGCTGCCGCGCCGCGCCGCCGGCGCGCTGTGGACCCGCCGGCGGGCGCTGGGAGGAGGGGAAGGGGGCGGGCAGCTGCAGGCGGGCGGTTTCCTCGAGGGCTATGGAGGCGGTCAGGCCCGAGGTGAGGCAGGCGAGGACCTGTCGTGTAGAAGGGAGCAGGCGCGGGTGTGATGTTGGTGGGTCCTTGAAGCAAGGGACAGTTGCAAATGGTGAGGCTCAACCGGTTGCAGGTAGCCGCAGTTGAGAGTGTTAAAGGTTGGTTGCGGCCAGGTTATAACAGGCATCTCCGGAGTCACAGTCAACCAAAAGGTGCTTGGTGCTGCTGCTGGGTGAAGCAGGCCAAGGAAGGATTCCACTGCTCAGGCTCTGCCTGCGGCGATTAAGAAAAAACGGGCGGACGCGCGTGCAGGCGGTGACAGGATGGAGGGGGACGGGTGCGCGGGGGCCCGGGAG